ACGTGACTAGTCGCATGTGGGCCAGAAAGTGTACAGAACCTATAAAGGTTAGTCAAGAATAGAAAAGGGCCAACTCTTAAAATCTAATTATGAAACCTAAAAAATATACATGTATTTATTAAACACAAATTAAAATAACAAATAAGGGCCCATTCATACCTCATATACAAATATAAAAACATACAAAGGCTGATGAAATAGACCTAGTGCGTTTCGGCCTTTACAGGCCTTCCTCAGAGGTCTAATACAAATAGACCATGTTGGCTGATATGTAAAAATATATACAATCATACATATACAGAATATGCAATAGAGACCAGAGAACAGTTGTTCCAAAGTTTAACCACTGGGCAAAGAAGAGGAATACAAAAATACAAATACGGCCTCCAGTGCAATCACATGTCCAGTAGTACTTCTCTCTGGTCAACCTATATATTCTCCTGAGCCTGTACAGCCAAATGTTCCCAATGAAATGTTTCTTAAGTTAAAAGCTGGACATGTGGATATAGAAAGCAGGAAGCAATTTTTCTATACAGTCAGCCAGGTTGAATGTTAAGTTAATTGAAAGCATTCTGTCTTCCAACAGCACTACAGAGCACAAATTTATTTTTTCCTCACCATTTTTATAAGCCTCCTCCTGACCTGTACATGACTCCTGTTCTCAATGCAGAGAGAATTCCAGACAGGTACTGTTTTCTCCTGCTGTCAGGTTGTAGTAGTCTAGCCACCCACTCTACTGCTCACTCTAGCAAGCCTTCTGCCTCCCACCCACCTTTAGTCTGGCTCACTTCATAAAGTATGTGGCTATAGCAGGAGACACTGCACCTGCAGAAGTTCTCCCCCCCCCCCCTTTCCTTGAGTTCATAAAAGATAAATTCAGCCTTAAAAATAAGTCTAGAAAAACGATTGACTAACATAAACTTCACTAATGTGTACACTCACACACACGTTTCTGATATTTATTTACTTCATTTATACTCTGCCTTCCTCCCCAATGGGGACCCAAAGCAGCTTACATCATTCTCTCCTCCACTGTATCCTCACAACAACCCTGTGAGGTAGGTTAGTCTGAGAGAGTGTGACTGGCCCAAAGTCACCCAGTGAGCTTCCATGGCAGAGCAGGGATTGCAACCTGGATCTCCCAGATCCTGGCTCTGTGGTGTACTTACTTAACTGTAACCTAAAAAGTGGGCTGGGGGAAACATTTGTAAAACTTCCGGTATTGGTCACCGGGTGGCAGGCCTTATTTGCTACTGGTGACAAAGCTGGATCATAACAGGTAAGGAGAAGTAGCCACTGTTCTTAGGACTAGATATTATTTAATATGATTAGACAAGCAGGGGGCCCACAAGGAATCTGATTTTCCCCTCTCCCACTATTTCCTCTTAAGTCCCCTCATAGCCTTTCCCCTTTTCCTGCTTCCCTCTTTCCAACCCATCAGCCAGCCTGCCTTTATCTGCTCACCCCTCATTTTCAGCTTTCCCTCCTTCCCTCACAATGGCAGCCTCTCCTGGGAAAACTCTGACCAAGTTGCTTAGAGCTGATTGAGCTGGGCTCAGTTGCACAACTGGGAACCTGCAAGGACTTGCAGGCAGTGTTCCCTCTAAACAGAGTTAGTGTGAGCTAGCTCACAGCCTCTGGCTCACACATTTTTGTCTTAGCTCAGGAAGGATGGCTCCAGAGCAAACTAATTTATGCAGCAGCCAAATCACTCATTCACAACTTTAATGCCAGTAGCTCACAAAATAGATTTTTGCTCACAAAACTCCACAGCTTAGAGGGAACATTGCTTGCAGGGGGTACATCACTTTCCATTATATCTCCTCCCTATGTTATTTCCTCTTTCCCTTCTGTCAGTCACAATAGCCTCTCCCCTTTGACTTCTTCCTTCCCAGCCCACCAACCCAATTACCTTTTATCTGCCCCCCCCCCATCTTAAGCATGTTTATTAGTTGTTTACTTCATTTATATTCCACCTTTTCCCATAATGGAGACCCAAAGCAGCTTACATCATTCTTCTCTCCTCTATTTTATCTTCACAACAACCTGTGAGGTAGGTTAGGCTGAGGATATATGACTGGCCCAAAGTTAAGCCAGTGTGCTTCTTCTGCACCATGGGAATTTCAACCTGAATCTCTGAAATCCTAGTCTAACCACTATACCACACTGGCTTTCATGGAGTGGCTGCTGTTGAATGGTAGCAAGCACCTAGGCTTGGGTGAGTCATGCATGTCACATAGTAGCACATCAGCTGCTGGCTGCTGCTGGGCCAGCTGCCACTGAATCCTCCCACAAAGACCAAAACAGCCCTGAGAAGTGCCCTGCCCAGTCCCCCGATCTTTACTGATAAATACCAAGGCTTGAAGGCTGGCAATACTGTTGTCTAGCAATGTCCACTGACAGTATTCATTAATTAAAGGCACAGTTGCTGCCTCTGTTATTTTGCGGGGATAATCCCCAAATGTATTTCTAATAGATTTCATATTCGTCTGCAAACCTGGGGTTTTCTCAGGTTTGTAGGAAGACCTGTCTTGTATGTTCATGGCTCCAGTCTCTGGATATAAGTTTGCACAGATTCAGTTATGTTGAGAATTAGGTATATTGATGATGATGCTGTTGTAACAGCTGCAATCTTTAACTGGATTATGAGCCAAGGACACAAGCCATCAGAAATTCTTGTGCATAAGCCCCCAGTTGGATTTCATTGAAATGGTGAGCTGTAGAGGAGGTCAGTCCAGTGGGCTGTGCCTTAAAGCTTCAGTTGGTTGATTGTTGAGGGCTGTTTTTAAATTAGCAAGACTGCAAATTAAATACAAACTTGGGAATGAAAAAAGTAATTAAAGATTGTCTTTCCCACCAACAAACACCACGGTGTTGTGTGCATTAAATTATAAGCCATTTTACACTTCTTTTTTGACATTTCAAAAAGACTCCGGTATTGTGCTTTTGGTAACATGTAAATTTACGTCGGTTTCATTTACTAATTGATCTCTGTGTTTTAACAATTAAGTATCTCTGTTCTGCCTTTCTAATTAAGAAAGAATAGCACACAAGGTGGCTTACAAGTCCAGGGGCCAGTCAGCAGTCCAGATGCTGTGCTCTGAACCAGCTGAATTTTCCAAACAGTCTTCAAATTCCCAAGACTGGCAACAAGGAAGTGTAGCTTTGCTGTGAGCACACCGCTTTTTTCCTCCCCCATTTTGCATAGCTGCTGCTTGGAAGTCAATTGTAGAAAGCTGGACTTAGCTCCCTCTAGTTTCAGTTTAAGGCAACAGGCACTGCATATGTAAATATCACAATGATCTAATAACAATTCTAGTTTGAAATCAGATCAGAATTAATTACTAAGAAGCATTGCTGCAGCAAAGAAGAAGAATACACACACACACACACACATTTGATGGCATTCCAAGGTATTCTAGGAAGCACAGTGGAAATTTATCAGGAGGCCCCTCTTTGAGAAAGCCAGTAATGGAGGATAAGCTTCTTTTCTGTCACACACAGCCAGGAAGGTGTTTCTAGAGTGGTTCACAAAGGGTAGTGGTTCGACTTGGGGGATGAAGGGATGTGAGGTGAAGTGAGCCGAATGTATACTCTCAAGCATGCTCCAAAATCCTTTGCAAAACAACTGTGCCAAGGTTTCCTCAGCACACAAGTTGACATGAAAAGACTTGAGGTTTGAAAACCACTGGCATAGCATATGGTTCTCAAGATGTTACTGCTGTGGTTCTCAAAGCAGTGGGGCAAGTCCCGTGGAGTTCCAGACAAGGGAGAAGATCCTGTAAACAGCAGAATCAAAGATTTTGTCTAGCGACAAAGAGAAGACTTAGTATGTTAGTCTAGTATGTTAACAATGGGACCGTCAGAGAGTTGGAGAATATTCAAGAGCACCTGATCATGTCATTTCTTCCCCATTCTTACCTATTTTAACCTTTTAAGGTCAACCCAAGATTTTAAGACACCTTGCATGCGATCACAAGAGGTAGAAAATTGATCTCAGTAGGTACTCTTGGTGTCTACAGCAGAAAGATATCAGCATGGCAGTCACTCTAGGCCACTTTGCTGGTGATGGTGGGTGGGAGACACAAGTGGCCTGTCGGAAGAGTGTGGTGTATGTGAGGAAAGTAAAGTTTTCATAGGATGCCACCTTTTTGCCCTGCTGGGACATAGAAATTTAAAAGCCTCGTACTAGAGGAAAACTCCAACATGCTGATAATTCTTCCAGGGCAAATATTACTGGTGGATTGTTGTTCTCTCCTAGCTGTCTTGCCCAGAGGGGCTGTAGACTGACCAAGACCAGACAGTGTAATATAAAATGGTGCTGTCCTTCAGGCTAGTTTATACATTTAGTAGCCCTCTTGCAGTTGATTCTGGCATTGTGAAGGGCCTCCAGAACACTCATGCAGAGGTATGGTTGGATGACCTGGTACATCCACATGGGACCTATCCACGTAGCCCTATGGCTGCTGTGATTTAAGTGGCTTTGTTGTGGTGCTGACTTGTTCAAGTTGTGTCTCCTGACTGCATCTCCACCAACAGCTCTCCACTCTACCAACAGCAGTAGCATTAAGGATTGTTGGGAAAGTTACTGGCCATTGATGAGATATTCACTTCTGGGGCATCATTTTCCACAGAGTACTTTGACAGCATGATGTCCTTATTTATACACAGAGATAAACATCTTAGCTAGCCTATCCTTACATGGAGCCAGTCCTTGAAGTTCAGCATTGTCTATTGGAATGGTAAGGGGGAGGAGAAAATACCTTGTTTCCATTGTAATTGGGGAGCAGTTCTTGGGTACTTCTTCACCTGGCACTTGTCAATCACATAGAACAATCCTAAAATTAGGGGGGAAATCTGACTCTCAAAAAACTAAATTTGTATTGCCTGAAAAATAGAAATTAAAAAGCATTCACAAACCCAGTGCTTTTCCCAAATTATTACAATGCCGAATGAGTTTCTTCCTTTTCTAATCTTTCTTACTTCCTGCCTATTAGCAGGAAATTTCCAGCCTCCATGGAATAAGCTCAGAGACATCTACATCCATAGAACAGTTGAAACTTCAAGAGGTATTTCTTAAACACTGTTATTTTCTTTTTAAAAAAAACTTCTCTAATTATGGTATATTTATCTGTCTTTGCAATGTTTGACAGGAAAGCACTGGTGTTTTCGTTTAGAAATACTAACACCACTCTTGATAACATTTGACTGTATTTTAAAGACATTAACATCTTACATCTTTAAATGTTTAGTTAACGGCAGACCTGATTTCTTCTCTATTAATTTCTGATAGCTTATTTTTTTATTTCCAAACTGCAGTGTTACATTTCTGACCCTTTTAAAAACAAGTTTATTTTTGCTGATCCAGTCAGTAACTAACTTTGACAAATTCAGGTGGGTAGCTGTGTTGGTCTGAAGCAGCAGAACAAACTTTAAATCCAGTGGCACCTTTAAGACCAACAACATTTTATTTAAAGTGTAAGCTTTCATGTGCAAGCACACTTTCTCACACAATATTGTCTGAGGAAGTGTGCTTCCACACGAAAGCTTACACCTTAAATAAAACTTTGTTGGTCTTAAAGGTGCCATTGGACTCTAAATTTAACAAAGAAAGAAGGGACTACAGCAACAGAAAGGCACTATTTTATCTGTGATATTTTCATTATGAGTTAGTAGTGTATGAAACTTATAAAGAGGAGACAATCCTCTAGGAATCTGTCCTGAACAAGTCACACTGAAATGAATGGCAGCTATACATGCAAGAGCATTTCAGTGGGGTCTGTGAAGGAGAATTTCCCAGTGGATTTTCTTCACAATCATTTTCTGAGATTTGCTTGTATTTATGGGGTTTGCTGGGTTTTGTTTTTATAATTCTGAGTATTCAGTCATTTTTAACTGCAACTCATGTTCTTTCTAGCAGCCCCATAAATATGTATATGTATATGTTTCAGTCTGAATCATATCCAGATTTCACTGACATCATTTTCCTGGTTCTTATTGTCTAATTTAGTGTGGCTGATTAAGTTTTTCTTCTTGTCCATTGATTAGGAAATAGCACTTTAAAATTATATTCTGGGTTTCTTTCCAAATAATATTTTTTACTAAATGAAAGCTGCACCTATTTTGCTCAGCGCTATGTCACTAGAGGTTATATTAGAAGCTTATATTTTCATTTTAAAAATTTCATTGTTTGTAATGGCAGGGTCATTTCCTAATGAAGTTAATTTGTTATCATTTTGATTTTGTCCTGGATCTGGAAGACGGTAGAATCTATTGCTTAATGTTCTCACAGGACTTGATCCAAAATCTGTTGAAACAAAGAGAAACTTTGTAATTGAGTTTTATTAACACAACATGTATTGGACTGTTGTACATAATACAATCTGTATTGGACAGTGCAATGAGGGTAGGCAATATTTGATAGGGAAAGGAAATGATGTGGGATTACTCCTGTAGTGGAGTTTATTATCATGTTCCAGTTTTCACCTGAATATTTCTGAACAATTCAGGGCCTTTATGGTCCATTGGAAAAGTAGCCCCAATCTAATAAGAAGTCTAGCCTGATATCCTTGCTATGGGATGAGCAGGACACTTACTACAGAGTGGGAGTACTCCCTAACTTGCATGCAAGATGTGAGCTCTCCCACTCTAACCATTTGAACAAGTACACTCCTGTCTCAAGCATAGGTGGATTCTTCAGTTTGCATATTCAGGCCATGATTTCTCATAATACTGTCACTCTTCCATTATGTACTATTTTGCATAATTTAGTCTAGCACTGCTAGCCTTGGGAAGAGAAAGGAACCACAAGGAATTTCATACAGCCAATTTGGTGGTTTCAGAGATTTCAGTGGGCATGGCTCACCTCGCATACTACTTGCTGAAATTCCTGACAAAGCTGAATCTGGGACATATTCACCATACACACACACACACACACACACACACACCTGATTTTCCTCACACCCCTTTTCGTTCACTTCTCTGATAAGCCTTCTCTCCTAGTACCTTTCCTTGCTCTTTTTTCCACAGAAATGTTAGCTGTTCTTTAGTTTTTTTCCTGTCTTCTCTGCACCTCAAAGAGCTGCCCTTTTTCTGTCTGGCAAGTCACCTTCCATTTGTCCCCGTCCCCCCCCCTTCTGTGCTGCCTCTTCCAGTTGAGCCTTTCCTACCTCACCGTCATTGTTTCCTTTCCCTTCATCTTTAGTCTGTCCATCTTACTTGGATAGAAGGTCTTCTGGCTGGACTCCTAGAACATTCTTCTCAGAATGAAATTCAGTTCAGACATCAAGCAAAACCATAGTTTATTTTAACTATAGTTGGTTTGTGAAAACAGAATTCGCTCACTGACAAACAAAACCTGGTTTGCCTCAACAATTGCGGGTTTCATTCTCTCCCTACTTTGGGAGCATTGCTGGAGGGCAAGCCAGGATCATGGCGGGATGTCAAAATCTGTATATCAAGCAAAGCCATAATTATGGCTAATTGTGATTAATAAATCAACTTTAAGATCCTGTCTTTAGTTCCTGGTTTGACAGACCAAAACTAACCATAGTTTGCTTAACTAAACCCTGGTTTTCCACGATATCTAAACTGAGCCAAAGTGTTAATGACTCGTAATAGTAGCAAATGTTTTGGCTTCCTGTAGTTTTTTTTTTTTGGGGGGGGGGGTCTCAGATTGAAATGACTCACTTCTGTAAGCCTCTAAGTGATTAATATATTCAAACTGCAGGTTCTGCCCAACTGAATCAGCATAACATTTTGACAGCTTTTTATTTTATGTGGATATTAATTCTTCAGCCACTTTTTAAAACCCTGTCATATTTATTACCTTCAGTTAAAATTCTTTTCCCCCTGACCTGAATTGGGTAGTCCAGGCTAGCCTGATCCTGTCAATTCTTGGAAGCTAAGCAGGGTTGGCCTTGGCTAGTATTTGGAAAGGTGACCTCCAAGGAATACCGGGGTTGTGATGCAGAGGCAGGCAATGGCAAACCACTCCTGAAATGTCTCTTGCCTTTAATAAAAAAAAGTCTAGCTTGCCATCTAGTGGTGCATAACACTAAAGAGCTAGAAGTCTGGCTGCCAGGCAATCTTAAGATCTCCTGGCTATTCTACACACAATGCCATACTATAATTAATTATCTTCCTTCGCCTGGGATTTTGAACTGTGCAACTGCTCATATATACATGGAGCTCTCTGTCATTCTAAAGAGGCATCGAGCTTTTCCATCCACTCCCACCAGACAATGTAATTTGCATATTGGCATAATTTGCAGGGCTATCCTAAGCAGAGTTGACTTGCTAAGACCATTGATTTCAGTGGACTTAGAAGGCTGTAATTATGCTTAGTCCATTAATAATTCCCCTATGGTTCTAGCTTTGTTTCCTTTGAGGACAAACAACCCTCTCCCCCTCTTCCTTCTTCTGCCAGGTTTGCTTTCAGGCCAAGTAGCTGGAGCAGCAAGACATTCCAACTTGACAGGGCCTAAATACCTGCAAAATGGCACTACCCCTTCCTGTCCCCACCCTCTTCTCTCTCCACTTCCAAGTCAGGGATGCCTGCCTTCTTAGGACTTTGCTGCTGCTGCTGCTGGATTATCTTGACAACAGATGCCTGGCTTACCATGTCTCATCTCCATTTACTGCATTTCAAAAACAGCTTTCAGCATGTGAGATGGTGTGGAGTGGTTGTGGAATTTGCGGTGCCCCGTAGCCCTGTTACTTGCATGCAGCTGTCTGCCTTACCACTGTCAGCCTCCCAATGCAGTCGTATGCAGAGTGACTCCAGTCTAAGACCACTTATTTCAATGGGATTAGACTGGACTAATTCTGCATTGGATTATACTCTATGTAGCAAGGTGTACAGCTATGGAGTCTGAGACTCTTTGCTTGGAGGAAGCAATTGCTTGGGGGGGGGGGAGACTTGCTTTACAGAGTTGGGAAGCAGACTATGTAAAGAAGCTTTTGGAGTGCTGGGATTTTTTCTCCCCGGGTTAAAGTAAACCAGCCAGACTCCTCCAATGTGGACAAAGGGATACTGGTGAGAAGGAGAAAGGGTAGTGAGGAGTACACCTGGGGCATGAGGGCATGCGTGCATCCTCCCTGTGCTGGATTTGTTGGTTCCCCACCTATGATGGGTTTACCATAGCTCCATATGCACCTCCACGGTGTGCAGGGGCAGGGAGTGACTGAGGAACCCTGCTTCCTGCCCCTCTTTCCAGGAGTGCTGAACATGCCACATCTACAAAATATGGTGGATCGTGTTGTTTTCCCCTGCCCAATCCGCTCCCACATTGGTTTGCTGCCTCCCATTGTGGAATATTCTGTAGGGCAAGGCTTGGCTCTTAACCCTCTGGAAATGTCTTTGCAAAGTCTGCTTCCTGGCTCTAGAGCAGAACCTCACCTCTCAAGTTGACTGCCCTGCTTCCTTTGAGAAGTCCGCAGGTAAAAGAGAGGCTTCCCTCTGAACTGCAAATGCATCAGTATTTTTAATGAATATTGTTCATCTGTCCTGGAGAAACTCAAAACAGTTTTGAGAACTGCTGGACAGTATCATACAACCTAGAGTTATATCCTCTGGTACCCTGTGCTAGCTACAACCGCTTGACAATTTTAATCTGTGCACTCATGAGTCACATCCTATCAGAAGAACTATACAAAGGTGATATTAAAACCACAGTATACTTGTATGCTTCTGTGAGAAGAACCACAAACAGGCTCTGAAGTTGGATCCAGAGCAAAATGCTGTCTTGCAGTTCTTGAGTTACTTTTGCATGTGGCTTGGACAGAGGTGAGATGCAAAGATAAGGTCAGTTTAGTTTCTTCTCTCCAGCATGACTACCCAGTGATACATGTGCCTGGCTTTCCTATAATTGCTGGCCCACGTTTCTGGAATCTAGTATTCTGTTTCCAACAGTGGCTGGCCAGATGTCTTGGGGAAGCTCAGACACAGTGCATTCTGATTATTCTCATCTCACTCTTCCTCAGGACAAGATCTGTGCCCCACCCTTCCATTTTATTATTTAAACAACCCTGTGAGGTAACTTAAGCTGAAAGAGAACACTGGCCTAAGGTGCCCCAGTGAGTTTCACAGCTGATTGGAGATTTGAACCTTAGTCTCCTCATTCTGGCTTTCTGAAGGTGATGGCTGCTTCCTGTTTTTTAAAATGTGTTTGTTTACTTCATTTATGCCCACCTTTCTCCACAAAGTGGCTTACAACATTCTCCCCTTCTAATTTTTATCCTCGCAGCAAGGCTTTGTGGTAGGTTGTGCTGGGTCTGGGAGTGTGTGCCTAGACCAAGTTCACCCATGAAGCTTCCATGGCAGCCATGGCAAAATGGGGATAAAAGCCTGGATCCTTGTCTGAAGCTCAGAACTACTATACAATGTTGGCTCTGTCTTCTCCTTAGTCTCTGGTATTGAGAATCATTCTGCCTTTGGACATGTAAAGTCCATTTAACTAGCATAGCTAATTTCTTCCTCTGCGATTTCCCCTCTTTTTGCTGTTTTTGCACTCAGGTTTTGATGTGTGTCTGAGCTAGTGGCCATCACCAGATCCTATGGAGGGGAATTCCTTAGGTTAATTACGTATTATATGTTAAAAAAATTAACTTTTTTGTGTTTGTGTGTGGCCAGAGTGGAGAAAATTCTCATGCATACAGGATGGTTGTTGGGCATTCTCAGGATTCCTTATGCTATTGACTCCAGCTGTAACCACAGAAAGCAGCTTCTAGAGGGTCTTGGGACTGTGTGCTGGAGCTCCTTCTACTCCATCACTACCTGCCTCCGCTCTGTTCCCTTTGCACTTCCATACACCTGCAGTTCTTCTTCACCTTCCTTTCTACTTTCAGATGGATAAGGAGCACTGCACAGCCATTCCATTTGCTCCATTGACTTTGGTACTCCCACAGGAGCTCTGATATGCACATGGCGTTCCATGTGAGACGGAGCATCCGTGTTTAATGTCAGAAATTCTTTGTTGGTGCATTGGGCACATTTGGAGAAATTCCCTCATGTTGAAGGGAATGGAGCATCATGTGGATCTCAGATCTCAGAAGAGCTTTGGATTGTAGCCATTAATGTAGCACACGGGGATATTTCCAAAGGTTGATGAGTGGAGCATGATAGGAAATGCAGCATATCATTGAGGGTTCTCCTGTCACTTGTTTCCACTGGGAACTCTTGGGGCTTTGAACAGTGTAGGTGATTGGCCTTGCAGATAAGCCCACAAAAGTTATTAGCCCACCACCTTATTTATTATGCCTTCGGCATTTGTGTCTAAAAAGGAAAATAAAAAAGAAGCTTTCTTGTCCAGTCAGCCAAAGACCGTTCTTACCGTAAGCAGCCAAGTGACAGATCGCACATGCTATTGCTCTGGCTTGCTGGGTCAACTAGAAGAACATGAAGAATTAGCCTAAAATGGCATCCAGCTTTACTCTTGAACAGTCTCTACCCAGTTGGTGTCTTTTCTTTTTAGGAGCAGCGTTCTCAACTCATTCAGAGCATTGTTGGCTTTCCTTTTCTCATTCATCCAACAGAATTAATTCCCTTTTTTCATATCACTTGAATGTGTCTGCTGAATTTGAAGCTATTGTGTTGGGTATCGTCTAGAGCAGATAAGTTACTTTTACTCTTTGTAGCAGTGTGTATGTGTGTGGGGGAGAGAGAAAGAGGGGTTAACATGGGTCTGCTGCTATCCACAGACTTGCAATGCTTCCTTTGCTACCCGCGACCGGCTGCGCTCACACCTTGCGTGCCATGAAGACAAAGTTCCATGCCAGGTCTGTGGGAAGTATTTGCGAGCAGCGTATATGGCTGATCATTTGAAGAAACACAGCGAAGGACCAAGCAACTTTTGTACCATCTGCAACAGAGGTAATTAATACACCAGCCTGTAATGGGGCAAAGGGTGGGTTTTGAACCTAAGCCGATGAATGCCTTCTCCAAGGAGAACAAAAGCTACAGTAAATTGTGTTCTCATTTGCTGTTGACTTCAGTATATATCTTGAGTATATACATTATATATCTTGAGGCTGACTCATTGTGAAAGGTCAGTACTTGTTATCCCCAACATCCAGTAATGACTTCCACATATGAATGAGCCACCATAGACAATGGTTTTGAGCAATTTGAAAGTTCCATCACCGCCTTTTCAGTCAAGTCAGTTTACATATGCAAATGCACACATGTAAGTGCATATGTGAACCAGCCTTCAGTGGCATGATTACTAGTTTTGTGTTCTTTTTTGTGTGTAAGAATTTTGCACTGCTCATAAAATTGTCACATTGTGTACAGAGCCGGTACACCTTTCCATCCCAGTATTTTGGCTTCTGTTTTCAAGGCTATGTATGTATGAAACCAAGTTTTCTGATGCTCTACCTTACAAACAGCTGCTTCTCAATTATTGTGTGTTGGGGGGGGGGTTCCATCGTTAATATTCAGGAAGCCTGAAGATTTGGGAACTTCCAAACTGTAAGAGGTGGAGACACCAAAGATCAAAGAGGAGGAAATTTAAAGTAAATGGAATCTCTTTGGGGTTGCTTTTTCTTGCCCAGTACAAAATACCTGCAGACCCATCTAGTGTAAAGAAATATTGAATTCTTGGTCAGTCCTTTCCCAGACAACATTTTGACACTTTTCAAAAAAGAGATGTGTTTTCCTTTAACATTTAATAGGGTGTATATGTATGTATTTTGTGCTCAGTTTTGCAAAAGGTAGGCCTTGAGTTACAACTCTTTTGAAATTGCCCTCCAGTCTCAAACCTGTTAAGTTGCAGGCAAGTTCCCCTTTGGAAGAAACGTTTTAAATAAATAAAATTTATTTCGGTGATTGATGATGGCTATACAGTACTAAGCTGTACAGTACCGAGTACTTAGCATCTTTTCTTAGAAGTACATCCTTGTGGGTTCAGCAGAACTTACTTCCTAGTAGTGTGTTTAGGATTACAGCCTCAGGCTCTGAGAAATGTTATTAATGCAATACTGAGACACTGCAGTAAATGTACTAGTTCAGAGTTAGTGAATTATTGATAGGCTTCAGATATTTCAAGTAGACCATTAAGAACCGTGTACAGTGTCAACAGAAGACAGGTATTTATGTCTTCATCAGATACAAAACGATGCAAGAAGACTAGTTTCTGTTTCCCATTTGCTTGTGATTGTTATATGAGCTGGGGTGGATAATGCAAATAAAATAACCGTTATCTTGGGAGAGCCACTGCCGGCCAGAGTAAACAGCTCTGGGCAGTTCAATATAAGGAGGTTTCCTATGTTCACATAAGCAAGCAGAAAAGACATTTGCTCAGAAATTTGGGGGATGGGGACATGGAAGGTGGAGCACCCTCCAAAAAGCAGCACACACTGGGCCTCTAGGGACTTTCCAGTTTGATGCTTAAATTTATTTCCTTACTTAAACAGATTCCAACAGGATTAAACTTTTTAAAATGGTTCTGCTGGTAACAGATGGAGCTGGTGGTGTTGGAGTATCCAGTGGGTTAGGCTGAATGTTGGGAGCGTATCTTGGAGTTCTAAAGGAAGAGGCTGAAAAATGGGGAAAGTTTGTCGAAACAAATAAGGACAATTTTGAAATGTTAAAGTAGCCGTGGCTCACAGCCTGATCTTATACGTTTACTTTGAAAGCGTGTGTCACTGGATACAGTAAGGCTTGTGTCCGAGCAGCTATGCATAAGTTTAAGCCTCAGACATTTATGGTAGTACCCTGAATCGCTCTGTTTAAACATATTGTGGGTCATATCAGTGAATGAGTTGGCATCAGTGTTCCCTCTAAGCTGTGTTAGTGTGAGCTCACTCACAGTTTTTTAGCCTCCGGCTCACACTTTTTTGTCTTAACTCAGGATGGAAGGATGGGTCCAGAGCAAACTAATTTTATGCAGCAGCCAAATCGCTCACTCACAACTTTAATGTCAGTAGCTCACAAAGTAGAAGCTTTGCTCACAAGACTCCACAGCTTAGAGGGAGCATTGGTTGGCATTACAAATTCTAATTGGCTAGGAGATCTCTGGAACTTCTGAAATGGAAAATAAACTTTGGGCTCTGGATTTTGAAGATCAAAATCTAAGGCTCTCCCAATAAGTCATCTTATCAGGATATAGACAAATCGTTCATAATCTTTTTTGGAACTTAAAGTGTGGATGATTGAAAAGCCATTCCCTTGAACTGGAATATTCCCAGCATGTTTCACAAAGCTGGAATTAATCCTACCAACCTATTGATTCCTTGCTGTTTCTCAGAAATGTTACCTTTCAAAAATTATTCCCACTATCAGATAGGAAAATGATTGATAGCCCTCCCTATGTGTCTCTCTTTACCAATTCCTTACGTTTGCAGGGTGGGAAAGAGACTGTTTTGATTTCCATCCTTCTATGAAGCACTCTCTGCTTATTGACATATGTTAATGATTTAAGAGTAAAATATACTCTAACTGTAAACTGGCTTTAATATGCAGGTTAGGATCTGTTATTGTAGGGGCTGTCAGGAACCCAGAAAAGATGCTATCAGGAGCTCTTTTCTGAGTGCTGGCATAGTTATGTCTTTGTTACTTGGAGAGGCAATCTAAAGTAGAATTTGGAGGACAGAGAACAGGCCTGTCCAGCGCTATGGTTCTTATTGCTGGAGTATGAAACCATAAGGATGTGTATACCAACAGTGTAATGCTAGACAAAGTTAACTCTTCTGAGGATTGATTTAAAAAGATGGCATTAATCTCTGGAAATAACCATCATTCTAGTGTCTTGTCTGCATTCCACAGCTGTAGGAAGAACAGCATGAGGAGAGAGTGTCTCCAGACATAACTGACAGGAGTGTCTTCCAGCCAGAAAGATTAGCAGATGTTCCCATCAAAAATAGTAGCACACAGTGTCTCTGCTTTCCTTCCACTGTATGCCACTGGGATTCCTGATTTTACAATAGAAGCAGAAATGTTTGTTTGCTATTCTGTTCTCTGTTCAGATGCTGCACCTACAGGCACCCTATCTGTTAGGGGAGTAAGCATGTACAATCTGCTTCTCTTCCCCCCATCTAGGGCTGCCAGGTTCCCCAGGAGGGCGGAGGTTCCCCGCTCAAAGGGTTTTCAATCCGCCGGTCCGGATCAGGCCGGCGGGGGGAACCCCGCCCCCATCGGGCTGATGTGCCCAGTGCAATGACGTCACCCAGAGGTGACGTCATCGCGTTGGGCACGTTGCAGGCAGACGCTCTACCAGTCAGCGTGAAAACTCTATGGTACCATGGAGTTTCCAGGCTGATTGCTAGAGCGTCAGCCTGCGACGTGCCCAACGTGATGATGTCACTTCTGGGTGATGTCATTGTGGCACGCATACGCAAAGCACGCACAAATGTACCAAGACGGGACCAACTATCCTCCACTTTAAACCATGAGTGACTTGGCAACCCTACCCCCATCAATCTATATATTTCTTTCCCTCTCCTCCCTGCAGTAGACAGCATGTCTGCAAGTAAGAAGGGTAAACATTTTTCTTGTATCCTGTGAAATATAGGTGCTGCAGGGCCAAATCAGAAGAAGCATGAGACATTTGTGATAAGAAAGGATCTGAGATCAGTCAATCTCTTTAATTGTATTTAAAAACAGCTGGGGAGGGGCAACACAACAGGAAACCAGCAAGGAGGCTGCTGTGTTGGGGAATAAAGGAAGCAGATGTGTGGGAGGGTATAAAGAAACTGTCAGTTGTGGTAAGGCTGCTGGCTTCCCTCAGCAGCAAGCTGGTGACGCTGAGGAAGTACAGCAGAACCTAATGTTACATAACAGGGCCTAGTGCTGGTACTGTTACTCCAGGATCACTCAGTTCCCAGGGCAACCCTGTAGATGGCTGCCTGGTTTGGCTCCAGGGAGGAGTGAACTTTTGAAGGACAGGGGTGTGCTAAATTAATAGCTGATCCACTCTGTTGCATCTTTGCTGAGGAGTCCTGCTGGGTCCCATCCTTTCTCCCATCTATGGAAACTGCTGGGAGAATGTGCTGGTGATACACATAGGGTTACCAAGTACCTACCGCGAATCGGCGGGGGACATATGGTCCCCGGCCGGAACATTCCTCCCTGTAACACACCCATGCCGCACCATGCCATCGCCAGGAAGTGACACCGGGCGATGCCTGGCAATGGGGCTGGAAACTCAATGGTACCATCGAATTTTCAGCCCCATTGCCAGAGCGTCGCCCGGCATAACTTCCTGGCAATGACATGGTGCAGTGCGTCTGTTTTCCGCGCAGGAATGGTCCTGAGAAGAAGTTTGTGTCCCCCACCGATTCTCGGTAAGTACTTGGTAAGCCTAGATACACAATTCTGTTTCTCCTTGTCAACAGTCCAGTGGTCAGCGAATGTTCTGAACAAATCCGTGTAAGCAATAATGGGCTGGTGGAAGGCCAGTAAACTAAACATTAATACAAACCAGCCTGAGGTGATGTTGGTGAAGGTGTTGATCTGTTCTGGATACTTATTCATAGGTTAGGAGGGTGATAGAAGAAGAAGAAGAGAAGAAAAGATTGGATTTATACCCTGCCCTTTACTCGGAGTCTCAGAGTGGCTTACAAACTCCATGCCTCAATTTATTATCTCTCACCAGCTTTGGTTGGTTCACATATTACAGCCTTGAGAAACCAGATGTGGCCATGATGAACCACGCTCTGACCACACCCAGATTAGATTAACGAAATATGTCGTGTATGGGGCTGCTCTTGAAGACAGCATGGAAGCTTCAGTGATGCAGAATGAGGTGGTGAAATTGCTGACTGATGTAGGTTATAAAGAGTACAAGTGGGGGACCTATGATAGTCATGGGGGGATCCCATCCCCCTCCAACTCGTTTCTCCTTCCCCTCCCAGTGCATACTTTCCCACCTGTTT